AGGTGGCGGGCGACGGCCTTGGCCGGCACGCCCCGCGCGGCCTCGCGCGCCATGTAGGCCTTCATCTCGGCCAGCACCGCCTCGCGGCGCGGCGGCGGCGTCTGCGCGCCGAAGAACCGCCGGTCCACCTCGGCCAGCAGCCAGGGGTTCTGGTAGGCCGCCCGGCCCAGCATCACCCCGTCGACATGGGCGAGCTGGGCGGCGGCGGCGTCCAGGTCGCAAAGACCACCGTTCAGCACCACGGTCAGCTCCGGCCGCGCCTGCTTGAGACGATGCACCAGCTCGTAGCGCAGCGGCGGGACCTCGCGGTTCTCCTTCGGGCTGAGGCCCTGCAGCCAAGCCTTGCGGGCGTGCACGATGAAGGTTTGCGCGCCGCCGGCGTCGGCCACCACGTCGACGAAGCGCCGGAAGGCCGCCTCGTCGTCCTGCTCGTCGATGCCGATGCGGCACTTCACCGTCACCGGCAGGCGCGTGGCCGCGCCCATGGCCGCCACGCAGCGCGCCACCAGCTCCGGCTCGGCCATCAGGCAGGCGCCGAAGCGGGCGTTCTGCACCCGGTCGCTGGGGCANNCAGCCGACGTTGAGGTTGACCTCGTCGTAGCCCCAGTCCTCGGCCAGTCGCGCACAGTCGGCCAGCGCCGCCGGATCGCAGCCGCCGAGCTGCAGCGCGACCGGCCGCTCGGCCGGGTCGAAGGCGAGGAAGCGCGCCGCGTCCCCGTGCAGCAGGGCGCCGGTGGTCACCATCTCGGTATAAAGCCGGGCGCGGCGCGAGATGAGGCGAAGGAAGTAACGGTCGTGCCGGTCCGTCCAGTCCATCATCGGCGCGACGCTGAAGCGGTGGGGCGAGAGGGCGGCCTGGTCGGTCATGCGGCTTCGGGGCTGGCGGTGGGCATTGCGAGCGCAGCGCGTGCGACAGGGGAGCCGTCGGCGCGCGCCGACAAGATGGGGCCAAGCGGCGGCGATTGCAAAGCCGCGGCGGGCGCAGGGAGAGGGCCGGCTGGCGACGGCGTCCCCAAGCCAGCCTAATGAATTAGAATTCAAGGGCTTTTCCCATGGGCGTCGGGACCGCAAAGCGGTTTCAAAGCGCCGCGAACCTCTCTAACTTGCGGCCCCATGACCGCCGCCAAGCCGACCAAGCCGAAGAAAGCCCCCGCGCCGGCGCCCGCCGAGGGGCGCGCCTGGCAGCGCATGCTGTCGGGCCGGCGCCTGGACCTGCTGGACCCCTCGCCGGTGGATATCGAGATCGAGGACATCGCCCAGGGGCTGTCGCGCGTGGCGCGCTGGAACGGCCAGACCCTGGGCGACTGGGCCTTCAGCGTCGCCCA